GTACCACCTCCATAGGTCCAGGTTTGGCCGTCATTAGAACTAAACAATCGGGCGACGTATCCTATCAGCCAGTGTCAGAGAAATGTCCAGAGTTACAACAACCAACGCATGGTCTTCGGTGGGTAACCAACAATGTTATGCATCACGTCACAATTGCGGGTTCACTTATGACATCTAAAGCACGCCGTCTGGCCCCGAATAGGCTCAAAACGGCAAAAGAGAATTTGACCACATGCTCGAACTAGGCATCATCAAACCCTCAAGTGGCGCTTGGGAATCACGATTCCATATGGTCCCCAAAAAGGATAGCAACGGCTGCGTCCAACCAGTGATTACCGAAGGCTTAACGCCAAAAAACACCGGGCCGCTACCTGGTTCCTCATGTTTGCGACGTGACCGCAACCTTATGCGGATTGGACAGATTTTCCAAAATCAATCTGGTCAAAGCGTATAATCGGATACCCAAGGCAGCAGAGGACGTCACGAAAACAGCCATTATTGCCCCCCTTTGGCCTGTCTGCACATGCCATTCGGTCTTCGAAATGCAGTACAAATATTCCAATGCCCTATGGATGATGTCTTCCGTGGCTTGAATTTTGTCCACGTCCACATCAATGACTGTCTCATTGCGGGTCCAGATAAGGGAACACAACTTAGACATTTTTGCCTCGTATTCAGTAGACTGGGAAAACACGGCATCGCAGCCAACTTGCAGAAATGTGGAACAGGAGTTGAGTCACTCGGCTTCCTTGAGCATACCATCGGCAACAAAGTTATACACCCATTGAGAGGTAAAGTGGCGGCTATCATGAAGTGTCCAGAGCCGACCACTATGAAGCAGCTCCGCACTTTCAATGGCCTGGTAAGTTATTGCCGAGGGTTTATCCCCAACTGTGCCTCTTTCATGAGATCAATAACAGATCTGCTTCCAGGGACTGCAAAGTTCATAATTCAGGGCAACGTGGCTGGACTTGCCTTCTCTAGAGTCAAGGAAGCCATTTCAAGTGCAACCGCGCTTACGCATCATTACCCCAATGCTCCTTTGAGTACTGCTGTTGATGCATCCGACTCAGTAATTGGAGCAGTTTTGCAGCAGTTGACCGACAACGAGTGGCAACCTTTGGCCCTCTCGAGGCGGCTGCAAGACACGGTACATTTGGCAAGGAACTCCTAGCTATATACTGTTCTGTACGCCATCTTTGACATTCGGTGGAAGGTCGTGATTTCATTACTTTTACAAACCATAAACTGTTAACCTTCTCTCTTGGGTTGACATAGGACAAATTCTCCCGCGTGAGTCGCGACAACTGGATTGCATTTCCCAGTTCACGTCAGATATCCGCCACATTTCTGGAGCAAATAACTCCATAGCAGATGCACTATCACGACTAGCTTCGATAAACCGTATCAAGGGTGTTAATCTCGTTGAGCTGGCTCGGCGTCAAAAGGAAGACCTTGAGCTGCAACATGGGTTGTCGTCCACAACTCTTAAGCTACGGCTGTGTCCAGTAGGATCAGGCAGGGATATAATGTTGCGCTATGTCCCTGCTAGTTAACCACGCTCAATAGTTCCGGAGAGGTGTCGACGTAATGTCTTCAATACGTTGCACAAACTGTCCCATCCAGGTGTACGAGCCACAGTTAGGCTTATTGCACGGCGTTTCTGCTTGCCATGAATGAGCAAAAACGTTGAGGAGTGGGCTATCATGCTTAGCGCGTCAAAAGCATGCAGTCGTGCAACACACGAAAACCCATACGGTTCTGTCCTAGCCCCAGACATGCGTTTCGACCACGTGCATATGGACCTTGAAGGACCTCTACCAGAATCTAATGGATGCACTTACCTTTTCACCAGTATGGATCGTTTTACGCGATGGCCAGAAGCAGTACCCATTAAGGATATTACTGTCTCTCGTGTTTTCGCATTCAGATGGATCGTGAAATCCGGATGTCCATCTTGCGCAAAAACCGACCGCGGGCGCCAATTCGAGTGCGGATTATTTCATGCTTTAACTGCACTTTTAGTTTGCACTCGGTTCCGAACGACAGCCTACCATCCACAAGCAGACGGCACAGTAGAACGTTTCCATCGACAGCTGAAAGCTTCCCTTTCGGCTGCAAATATACTTCAGTCAACGGAGGCTTTGCCTATGGTCCCACTACGTTTTCGTAGCCCGTTGAAGGCTGATACTGGATGCACCTCTTCAGAACTGGTCCACAGGACCACTTTTCACCTTTCAGGTGAGTTTATTTCCCCTTCGACTTTCAAACATGTTTTCGACGGGAAGTCTTACGTGAATGGGCTTACAAACGCAATGCGTTCAGCCAGGCCTACTCCTACCAGTGTCTTCTTTCACCGCGTTTCAAAAAAGACATCACACGTCTTCATTCTCCACGATGCTGCTCGTCGACCACTTGAACCATCTTATGATGGACTATTCGGAGTGATCAAGCGGCGTGAGAAATTCCACATGATCGGGGGAAACGGATGTGAAGATACCGTTAGTATAGACCGCTTGAAACTAGCTTATTCCGGAGGCAACCCTATCAAAGTGCTGTTTCAGCTCACCATAACCGACAGTCAGATGGCCCAACTATCAAAATTCTTGGCAACGTGCCTGGTAAGGCACAGATACAACAGTCACCAGCGCAACAAAAACACGACCAGGTCGAACCGTCAGGTTCCCTGAGTATTTAAAGTCATATCCAATTAAGCAGTGTAAAATAAATTGTGACAACCATTTTTCTGATTCCAAATTATTTTTTAGGGGCTCCATCTTTTATCTATTGGGAATGCGAAGGTCATACATTTTAACCTTTTATATCAACTTTTTTACTGCCACGTAATGAAACTTTTCCAAAAAATGGAAACAAGCATAAAATCCATTTTCGATACGTTTATTTGTAAATGTTTCCCGTTTTTCCGAAACGTTTTCGTGGTATTGAAGACCTTTATTTTTATTCCAGCTGCCACGAGCGTCGAATCAAACGTCACAGGACACTGAGGATAGTGATCGACGTACACTTCGATTTATTGTATTTCACTTTTCATTCCCCATGGTACCCTGGAATAATTTCAAACAACCATGGGACACTTCTCGCGGTGAGCCCATTGGAAGAGTTTTGCCAGTGGAGAAACCAGTGGGTTTTTATTTCCGGCTAGTATCGTCTTAGGGTCCTCACGAACCCACTAGGGGGGGAGTGATCTGTAGCGTCACGCAGTTCTTCACGGCCAATTGCCTAGGGTTCAACGAGGTGCTGATAGTTTCACCGGACTCGTTAAGCCAAAGGCACCCAGTCAAGCATCCTTGCCATTTGGCACGCAGTCGTGTTGCGTTGCACTGCTCGTAATCGGCCCTGTGGCCAGTTAGTTGGAACGTATCGGCATCTTGGTACGACCTGGCAAATATACCTTTCCACCCGACCACGTCGTTATGTTCTTTCTTGGCCTCATATTTGTGGGTAAATAACAAGTTCGAATAACTGGTGATTGGCTTCTGCGTCTATCAAATTCGCACCAAGACAATTCCTGAAGATTAAGTTGCACAGTGAAGTATTCACGCCTTTGGGCAATTTTCCATGGTGTTGATTGCAGGTGATCACCCAGCCAGTCGGCCGAAGCGTATGAATACTTTGTCATGGTTCTTTAAACGCACCATTCCTATCTGGCTACGTCATCGTTTTCTTTGTTGGTGTTGCACTTTTGGGTACTTTACTAGTGAGAAGAATTATTGGTTGGCCACTACACCTGTCGAGTTGGCTAGGGGAAATTTTCTTGTATATCTCTAACAGATTACGCTAATGGGATCCTATTCCTGGATGACCACAAACCTTAAGCTAAAGTGACGAAAATATATGCTGCACACGTCTCACACGTAGTGCCGTTCGATGGACAGTTCGGTCACACTATTTTTACCACTTCTCATCAATTTCTCAGCGCCCCACCTAAATTTCTTCACTAAAGGGCTTTCTTCACTTCGTGAGAATTAGAGCGATTTGGAGCACGCCCAGATGCTCTACACTAAGTTGTTTCATAAACTAAGTCACTCAACCTATACCCCCTAGAATGCGGATGATTGGGTGGTGACCTAATGGTGAAATGAGATATAGCGAGTGCCCTAAGTCATCCGCCTTACGATGCGTTGAGGCAAAGCTTCTATACTAATACCAGCGGCAAACGCCTAGAAGTTAGTCTTACTCTGTAAGACAGGCGTAACGTTTTCTGTCTAGGAGTCATCAACAGGGGATATGCGAGACAGTGGAGCTGGTCAAGCAATAGTGTCGAGGCCTTGGAAACGCAATCTAATAACCTCATTCGGACCACAGTATGGGCTTGTAGAACAAGTAATTACTAGCTGACTTTCTGCTTTGTTTATTCTTGGCTTCACCTCTACTTTCTCGGACGAAGGAACTAGCATTCAACTGATTCAAGATGCAAAACGTCAGTTTTCTGAAAAATCTCATTTCGTCACCAACGATTTATATCCATCTTAAAACGGGTACAGAGAGGAGCTACGATACGGTACAAACCTTAAACAGATCGCTTGGTTACTCCTAAGCCACATCCAGTACCGGAGGATCAGAGGAGGATATGATCATGATGTCCAACATTTCGCATGATTCCCCTCATATTAGCAGAATTCCACCAGGCCCAAATCAGAAACACCACCTTAGGGGTCACCAACTGAGGGCAGAACATGAGACAACCTGTACAAAGATCCGTGCTAACTTGTTTGCAGTTACAGTTTGTAAACTGCGGGACTCCATTACTTCCCCCTCCTTTCAAAAGGGGGTCAGACGCATACCTAGAGTCTTGTGATACTGGTGAGTTGTACTCAAGAAGTCTTCTGTTATCTGTAGATCAGAGGGAATAATGCTACCTTGAGATCAGATTAATTAATAATCAACTATCTTTATACCTTCAGGTTTCTCGAAACCAGGGAGATAATTGTGACCATTCCAAACATTGAACGTACTGCAACAAGACAGACGTATAACTCAAAGAACCATAGTTCACCAATTCTACTACACGAAGTTTCGACCTCTGAACTATCATAAAATTGAACATTGAAAAGTGCGACTTACAACAAATGCGTTATGGTTATTTCGTTGAGTGCTGTGATTATTGCGATCATTATATGTCTTACCACAATTCTACTGTATTGGGTATCGCTTAAGAAAAAACTTAAGAATGTGTTATTCATTGGGATATGTGATTCAGGGAAAACAACGCTTTTCTCTTCGATTGTCTACGGGAGTCCATCAACCACGTTTACATCACTCAATGAAAACGTCGCAAACTTACAAGTGAATAAAAAGGTATTATCTTATTCATAATCTACTTTAAGGCTCTTGTTCTTGTAGACGTTCCCGGCCATGAAAAAGTAAGAAACGAGATTATTCAAAAATACAAGGTGGATACTTTGTAAGTCCTTCGTAGTTGTTTTTCACTTCTAGAGCATTGATTTTCGTCATAGACTCAAAAACCGTTCAAAGCGATATCAAGGACATTGCCGAGTTAGTTTGTTTACCATTAAAAATCATGAATATTTTCTTTGTAGATTTCTATACAATGTGCTTGTTGACAAAGACTTTATTAAGAACCGTGCAAAACTACTTATAGCATGCAATAAACAAGATACTGCAACTGCGAAGGGTATCAGTGTAATCACTAATCTGTTAGAAAAAGAGTTGTAAGTTATCCAGTATGAACATTTCCTCATATTCTGTAACTCACCTAAGCATTGCGTCTCGGTTGTATAATGGCCAATGTAATAAGACACAGTGATATTATTGTGCACTTCCGTGTGTATGAAATTGCACATTAGAGTTCACAAGCATACTAGGGTTACCGTTGCTTACTAGACGTTATAGTGAACCATTTTTAATAAGTTGGCCGAAGTTCTTGTTCTCTGAGGTCTTAAAATGTCAAAAGCATCACCTGAGGAACAGTAAGACCAAAGCTAGTGGATCTAAATTTAGGGTGGGGGGGAATTCCTACTGCTGAATCCAGTAGCGTGCAAAAAACGATATGTTTCGAGCAAACCTATTTCATATTCCTTTCATCAAAGTGGTTTTAATATAATAAATTCGTTAAAAGAGTATAACCAATTCACTCAGTTTTGCTGTCACCCGTGGCTTTTTTAAAAATTTTGTCAGCCTTTTAACTCCGAATGTTCATAAGTGGCCCTCTGGAAGATAATAACTTTCATAGTGGTTCTAGTTTTCTTTCAGACGCAACTGTAGTAAGTAACTTTAGGTGCACGCAGTTGAGGAGTGAAGTCGTCCGCAAATTTTTACCACCACCTTCGTCTCTTCTTAACTTCATTTCTGTTTTGCATTGTCATCAGTTTTATCCATATTTTTCTATTTTCAATGAAAGGCAAAGTAAGATCTTGCATGGAAACCTACTGGTTAAATGTTATACAATAAAGACGTCAAAATCATAGGAAAGTGACTTCAAAGAACTACGAGAACGCATCAAGTGGACTAGAAGTCAGAAATAAAATAATTTCTCAGATTTGGCATACAGAGCTAATGTACTTGCACCACCGTGAATAATTTTGATCCATAAGACCTTTAGCAACTTGCACCATCTTTTGCTTTTTCCAATAAAAGGGCAACTATTCTGCACTGCGATCAGCTATGTTCTATTGTACGGCCCAGATATGACCGTTGACACTAGAAAATATGAGGATGTTACCTTTTTGAAAATAGGTTTCTCCGTAACAAGATTCGCTTGTAGTGTACACAAAGTGAACAATATTAAGGTTAAGCGCAGAATACCAAGCAAAACAGGCAAGTTATTTAACAAAGTTATGAATCTTAGCCAACTAATATGGCTTGTCGGTCGATAGCTACTATCCTACGTGGTGGCTGCTTTTTCCAGTGACGTAAGAAGTTAGTCTTTTGAACTACATCATATCAGAAAGGCATAACGGATAGCGGTAAAACTAAAAGCACTTGCCATCAGTGTAAGGAGCTTACAGTATGGTGAAGATCCGATGACAAAGTCGCACTACTGGCTGTAGTGAGTATGGATTTTCTTGTCTGACCGCTTGTTGCTGCCTACTTACTCCCTGGCTTCACTCGAAGTGTCAGCTACTGCAGGTTCAGACCGGTAAAAAGCCTGTGGGGGTCAGACTAAAATATGGCATCTGTCCATGAACCCTCTAACTGTTGGTCTGAGATATGTGAGTCAGGTCATTGGTGTCCTCTAGATATTGTGAATCCATAATTAGAGACTTAATTGATATGCTTCAAAATTGGCCAGTGACTCAAACCTATTCAATACTTATGTGGGGGTGTGAATCAGTGTTTTATGGAGATGATTATCACCCATTGGGTCGGGGGTTCGACCCCCCTCCGTCTACCGTTTGCGCAGTCAGTTAGTGCCACTAGCTCACACAATAGGTGTGGCTCATTGCCTACTGCATGTATGTACACAGGATGGTTGGTTGCATTTCGTTCATTCAATCTTTATCATCTTCGTAATTTGTAACACTTTGGAAATCATTTTTGGTCTTCTGTACTCATATACTTTTGCCTGCTTTAATGTCATACCTTTTTCATCCATTTCCTATTAATATGCTATAGTGTGGGATTCTCAGCGTAAACTATTGTGCCCTCGTATCTGTCTCTTTATGATCAATGGTTGGTTTCTGGAATTTCGAAGATACTAACAATTAGTGGCCATAATACAAGGGCCGACTATTTTTAATCTTCCTAACCTTACACAACTGCAGCTACGGGATGTGTAGGAGACGTTGTCCAAGTGTAGTTTCTCATTTAGTCGTAACAAGAAGTGTACATACAGGCGTGCCAATAGCATTAAGTTCTAATGAAGAATGTCCACTTGCCATTGAATTGTCCAATCAGATGGCTGTGTGAGGGCACAGGAATACTATAATGCTGGTGTCACCACCACATTCGTAGTGTAGGCTGCGTACCGTGAATCAGCACATTAGTAACGTACAAACCAGGCATAGAGTTCAAGGTGCATGAAGTGAGATAATTTGATAAACTTTTTAATTTCCATCGACGCAAAGGGCTGGGACATGAACATTTATCCTGTCGCATAGTGTTAGCTGTAGTGTGTAGATTGGAAGAAGGTTAGAGGTGGCCGAACTAAAATATGGCATAAGTACATGAGGTCTTTAACTATTAGTTGTAGCTGTTCAAAGAAGTGTAGGCTTCTCGGCCAGGGTTCATATAACAAACGAAATTGGTGATTAGAGACTACGTTATATGGCTCAAAATTTTTAGCGGAAGCATGCACACATTATCTTCATCCGGTTGCAGTTTAGTTTTTTCATCTCCCTTTTAAGCTTTCTTCTTTATAAGGTACAAAGTGACTTTTTATTTGGATGGTGTGAAGCTAAACCGTTACAAAGTAATGATTGAAGACTGTAATGCAGGTCATCATGATACGGGATAAAATATGTATTTACAACAGAAGATTAAGTTGAATTGCTGAGACATCACTTTCAACCTATTCTTTCCTTGTTAATTCATAACTTTAAATTGTTTTTATTGTCGCTCACCATAATGTTTTCTCCCACTTTATTTCAAATTGCAGTAAATGTCACTTTCACGTAGTTCACAACTGATAGTTCGTGAGTAATAAATTTTGATGGGTCCTGTATAGTCAGCCCACTTCCTTTCATATCAACTAACCCAATGAATACTAGTTAGTGCTAATCAGCTACATTGATTTTGTGAAAACGTGATAGCTTGCATGTGTGTCATTCTCTAAACAAGCAGTTTCCAAGAGGCTAAGAAACACCATAAACCTTCATTGAGATTTCGGAAAAATGTATCCATGATTAATATTACTTTACTATTGCAGGTAATCTAATTCTCGTAGCTCATTATATCAGTTTATTGAGTTTTAATCTTTTCCAAATTTTAGGAATACCCTTACTTTCACACGTACCGGTGCGCTTGCTGGTCTTGATCATTCCACTACAAGAACGCTAACTAAACCTGGAGTGACTTTTACTTTCTCTAGAAGTCGTTTTCCAGTTGAATTCGTCGAAATCTCTGCCACAAATAATATCTCTGTGATTCATAAGTGGCTTATGCAACTATGAGTTTTTTTGTAAAAACGAAGATTATGTTCATAACATAAATGTATTCGGATAGACAACTGTTTTACTCGTTTTATAACTCATTTTTACACGTAGTTTTGCACTCTCTTCTGAATTAGCACAACGGCATATATGTTGGGTTCTTTCATGATCACAGTCAACTATCACTCCGAACTTTGTTCAATGTATTTGTACACATTACCTTGATACATTGACAACGGAAAGTGCTTGCCGCGTAAACATTGCAGTTTCGTGGATGTAGAAACAATCTATTGGATTTTTGTCACTGCTAACCTGATTCTATTTTTGGATCACAACATGCAATATAAGTTGTTGACATATTCAGGTAGGGAAATTTTTTTTCTCCTTTAAAGATCTACCACGAACTTGAAGATCAATCAATCAATATCAACATAGGACCAGGCATCACTGCTTAATGGTCCGAGTTGCCACACCTCATATCACTACATCAAGTTGAAAGGTAATGAGGTGAAAGATGAAGATAAGAAAATTCAGTCAAAAGAAATATAAAGTAGGAGAAGAAAGAAGGGAAGAATGAGAAAATGGTGAGATCAGGTATAGCGTCGTTAAGATGAGGATAATGTATGTATACATCTGCGCCACTGATATCGGTTCTGAGCCGTGCGATCACCTAGAGTCTCCAACTACTGGTTCCTCTTGTCCCACCGACCCCAACCACCTAGTCTGCATCGTCCTACATGGCTTAAACCAACAGTCAGAGACATTGGTGCCATGTTTTAGTCTGGCCACCTCGCACCTTTTTCCAGCCTGGACCCACCTCAGCCAACATTGTGTGACGAGGCAATCGGTGACTAAGCATACGTAGTACGTGTCCCAACCATCTCAGTCGATGAAGGTTCATAACCTCGTCAACTGACTTACCTCTTCTCCCTAAAACTCTACTCCTGACTTCTGCATTACTCACATGGTGACACCACGGAATACGTCCTATACTACGAAGGCAATGGTGGTCAAACACTTGAAGCCTTCTCATGCCTCCCACTTTCAATGGCCATGTTTCACAGCCACACAGTAGAACAGACCAGACTGCTGTGCAGTACACGCGATCCTTAGTAGACAAACGGATATCACGGCGGCGCCATAGGTGGCGCAAATTGGCAAAAGCCAGTCGAGCCTTTTGTATCCGTTCAAAGATCTCATCGGCAACTAACCCACCAGGGTTGATCCTACTTCCCAGGTAAGTGAAGTGGTCAACACACTCAACCACTTCACTCTCTATTGTTAGCCGCGGTATCGCTGAAGACCAGTCCTGGAGCAAAGATTTGCATTTGAGTGGTGAGAATCGCATCCCAAACATTCGCGAATTCCCACTCAAAGTGTTCAGAAGACTCTGCATCTTGTCAGTGTCTTCACTTAACAGGACCATGTCATCTGCATATTCTACGGACTTGAAGCCTTCTCTTAGTATTTGGTACGATAAAATCCCACCCAATTAGCTTTCACTTCTTAGCAATAAAGAACATGGATATTATAATTCAGATCCTGAGGACACCCACTATATAAAAGGTGCCTTAAGTATTCCGAACGGTTCTCAGTCCCCTCAATGATGATTTCTAGTCCTATTAATAGCTCTTTACAATGAATTCTTAAAAAACACTTTGTCGATCAGGACTGTTTCTTAACAGTTTGCACCTGAAGTAACGAAAACAAGTTGGGCTTGAGCTTTATACTCGATATGCGATCCCACTGGCTGTCAACAACCACTTAGATAACTAGTCCCCGGCGACGTCATTGTCTACAATGGGGAGTATGAAGTTCTGTGCATAGAAAGTATTTTAGTATATTCATTTGGGATAGTATGGAAGCTACGTCTTAATACTACCACCAGCATGCCTAAGTCATCTGGTTTTTACAGCATCATCATCATTATTATTCGAACACAAACGCGTTACAGCAAGGGCACCAAGAAGTGCGCCTCACAAAATAATATAACATTATGAAGACATAAAGCGGTGAGAAGTGGATAAATAAGAAATGAAAACACAATAAGGTTATAATGATTAAAAAGGGAGTCCAGTAAGATACATTCAAAACAAACATTCGTTACTTATCATCACCAGAAGACAAAAAAAAGCTACAGCGTGATCGCTGCTAGTTACGACTATGAGTCATGTTTGATGACGTTTCAAGCCACTGAGTTGAGTGGTCTCTGACCCCACCCAGAGAGTAGTGATGCACCAACAGATGCTAACCCGATGCAACTGTCCTTAACTCTACGGCGCCACATACACTGGCCACTCCTGCGCTTCTATCCAGTCCCAGGCTAGCAAACATTGAACGGCATGGAAGTTGTTGGAGCGACATGCGTAGCACTTATCCAAGCGACCTAAGCCGGTGTTTCAAGATCACTCATTGAATGACGATCTCCATCATACCCAAACACATGTCGCACCTCAGAATTACTCATACGGTTTTGCCACTGGACATGAGTAATCATACAGGGACAACAATAATCGAACAGAGTTGTCGTACATCCTCAGCTTGGAGAGGTCAGGTTTTACAGGCGTAGCGTTGTAAGCCCGACTTTTTACGGTCAGACTAACATCGCGACCGTGTCAAAGGTGGCTCAGATCCGCGTATGTCACTCTGGCTTCTGATATGGAGTTTAAATTTCATCACACAAATACACGAACTTTTCGACTATTTCCAACGGCTCATCACCGAGAGTTAGCGTATACACAGGCTCCTTTCAATTTTAGAGAAGTGCTTTGATGTTGCAAAGCACGTACCATACTTGCGGACACTAACTACTAACTCATTAATTGCAATCTGAGTAGCCTGTGTTATCTCACAGTAAGACGATATCGTCTGCATATTCGAGGTCGCATAGCCGTTCTCAGGGTAGTAGATCTACACCACTATCATGCACTTCCTTCAGAACTATCTCAAGAATATTACCGATATCAAAGTTGAAGAGGAATGGGGAAATCGGGCAACCATGCCTAAGTCTACTACTGGTTTGGAACAATGGAGACAGGTAGTTGTATACCCTCACTTTACTCACCATGCGAGATGACATAATGAAGTTAATTCAATCCTGCTATTTTATGAAGCAAGCATCCGGAGGTAAAAATGAGAACGAACACTTGATCACCATTAGTAAGCTCGGTGAAGCATGCCATAGAAGTTTCCATATCGCTACACTGTTCCAAATAGAACCACAAATTATTATTTGACCCTTGGGTTCCTAATGGAACATAGGGATTCACTAGCACGTCTCCATTTTACTCTGTTCTCTAAAATCTTTTGAACCCGGCTCCACGACAACCCACAAGCTCTCATTTTCTCCTCGCACGATCTCCTCCATGTCACCCTCGGCGCTGACGTTCAACTCGTCGCTTCCCATCGGGTTCCACTCGAGGGACTAGCCTGACGCATGATGTCCCCAGTCGGCCTTCTCAGTGTATACCCAATCCATCTCTATTTCCTTCTGCATATTTGTTCAGCGATGGGTTCTTGGTTGGTTCGTTCCCAGAGCTCCTTGTTGCTTATTCCTCCTGGCCATCTGATCTTCAGTAGCGAGCGTAAACAGTTGTTGATAAATGTCTGTAGTTTGTTGGAAATCCCTTTCGTAACGCGCCAAGTCTCTGAACCATACAGAAGCACTGACTTGACTGACGTTGGTGTTGAAAATCTGGATCGTGTTCCACATGCTGAGTGGAGTGCAGAGATCTCTACACTGGTTTCAGGCTAATGAACGCCTGTCTTGCTCTTCCGATCCTGCTGGCTTTGACATCCTGTCTGTGCCGCCTGTAGTTGAAACAGTGCTATCTAGATAGGTGAAGGAGGTTACTTCCTTTAAGTTTCTCCCGTTGATGGTGATCGAAGCTTATTCTTGCTGTTGTTGTTGGTTGGGTATCTTCATGACCTCTGTCTTCTCTATATTCACTTAAAGTCCCGTCTTCGCTGCCCTGCCTCTTCTGTCAATTTTTACTTTTCGCTTGTAGATCTTCAAGTTTGTGTGACATTAGACATAAGTCATCGGCAAAATCCAAGTCTCCCAGGTTCTTTTCCGCGGTCCAGACAGCGTATCCCCCTCTTCTCGCTCCCACTGTTTGCTGCATGATACAGTCCAGTCAACCACAATCAGGAATATCATGGGGGATAGTAAGCAACCTTCTTTAACTCATGTCTTCACCTCCATATTGCTACATTATTCCAAATAGAAGAACCACAAATACTACTTATGAACAAGACTGCTCGAGTATTGTCACACTCTGCCTATGAATAAAGCTTTTGTCGAGAGACACGGGCAGGAATTAGTGATGGGGTAGTTCTACCTAACTATTCGCTATCGCCCTGATAAATACCGAAGCTAAAAACTCTGAAATTGTTTCCATTTACTAAAATTCTTATAGTGCACCGGCCAATGTCTTAATATAGCGCAAACAAATACTAGTAAACAGGACTACTCCAAGTGCGAATTTACACAAGTCCAATTGACTGGGTTAGTCCATTCAGTCAGCCCGATTTACGAGACGTTTGGGCCAGCATCACTGGGTTGTTGACGCTCCGGTACGTTGAACCAGCTGAGCAGCATGTTCACAACAAAGTCAACTACTGAACTTGAAGTCCCATATGCAAGGTAATATAGCCACATCAGAAGCCGTTCCCATGGTTGTCTACACTATTTGTTCCTTCGGAACCCTTTTGACCATGTACTACACTCTTAGGGAGTCAGATTTTGTTGCACGGATGACTCGTGTTTACTTACCTTAGAACAAGTACCAGACACTTACCTCCTTTTTCGCAGGAACACTAAAGTTTCGATAATAAGGACCATGGACACACGATCAGGTGTTATTGTTATGAGGGAGAATGAACTACTAACATCCACCATTCCTGGACATTTGAAGGTAGTTATTAAAAAGCTGACGCATCTGACCAGTGATGAAGGACTTTACTAGACTACAATTACTTACCACCGTCTCCTCATCTGACTTTTCAGGGATTATCTTTGTTACAGAAAACTCCTCAATAGACCCAAAATATGTAGATGGCAGTTTTGAGATGAAGATGCAGTCTTGTTTGAAATGCGGCTCTAGTCAGACAAATGCAAACTGTTGCTCGCAACTGGTGTGCACTAGAGCCTTGTTGAAAATATAGAGCGAAATGGTTGACTGCGCTGACGACTTCGGTTTCTCAGCTCAGTGACCGACCAAATCTCCGGACGGATGCAAAACGCTGGCCTAACTTTTACCAAGTCACGCCAATCGTTGTGTCGCTCTGATAGCTGGCTGATCATTAAGGGTGGAGTGCACTCCGTAGCCGTCCGCTCTATTCTTTTATTTAGCTAGGAAACATGGCCAGTAAGGGAACACGACATGAGGCCTCAGGTGTTCGGCCACCGTTGCTTTCATAGCATAGGCAGCTTCGTGAAATCATCGTGTTAATAATGTAGGACAGTTTCGGGTAAGGTCAGTTTATGAGGTGAAAATTCATCGGCTGGGATATGTGCAACACATATCCAGTGACTACTGTCCCACTTTCGTACTGCTGCTAGCTGGATGGGGTGACAGCAGTAAGGTGTTCCCCTTGGATGATCAGCAGTGCCATGCTGCGTTCTCAGTAGGAGGGGGGGGGGGGTAGGAAAGGTCGGCCCCGGAAAAAATGCATTCCACCATACCCCACGGTCTGCCAGACCGGCAGTGCTGGTTCGTTTGTCGTTACTTTTTGACCATCTGGCCCCCAAAAAGTTCAAAATAATCATACACAAAGGCTGCGTGTGACAAGCCTCAAGCAGATGTCTGATGGGCTCTGCAGTCACACAAATCTCTTCAGGTACCTTAAGAATAAATATCCTTTCACGGTGTGGAGAGCCAGGAAGTGCCAACTGCCTTCACAACTCGATCAGCACTCAAGTTTCTTCTGACTGCTACCCACCTCCTCCACCATTACCTTCTAATCTTCCTTCACGTCTCTCAATTAACGATGCTGCATCATCTTTAATTTCTCCTACCTCTGCAGCCTTCGACAATGATCTGAGTCCACAGAACAGCATCACTGGTCTCCTTAAACCACTCTCCGAGTTACATATTGGAGCCTTCAATGTCCGCACCCTCCGTCGAATTGGCCAACAGGCTTCGTTGGCAAAGACTCTAGCACCTCGGGGCGTAGACACGCGTACAGGACCCAAGTGCGGTTATCTACCTGACCTCTCCCGGCCAACCTGGTGAATCCGCGAAATTCACCCTTTGAGTTTCTGGAGATTCGATAGCTAGCTCTCGTGGTCTTGCAGGTGTAGGCACAGCATTGAGCACTGGGGCAGAAAACTCACTACTAGACTGGATCCAGTTGATAGTCGCCTCTGCGCTATGAGGCTGAACGGCATAGTGAGAACTAAAAGGAATAGTGAGACTCGCCGTTGTCTCTTTGTAATCTCTGCTTACGTACCCACTGACAGCTCGGATGAAGTGAGGGACGAGTTCTACCATAAACTGTATAGCCTCCTGTCGAAAGCCAAAGGTTCAGACGTGGTTGTTGCAGGTGACTTCAATGCACAGGTGGGTAGACTGAGTGAGGCAGAAAGGCACTTAGGTGGCACTTTCGGAATCCCAGCTGAACGTACAGATAACGGTGATCGCCTATTACAGCTATGCTCAGATAACCGCTTATTTTTAGCTAGCACAAGTTCCAGACATCAAGAAAGACAGTCTGATGTGGCGTCCACCGAGCTCAACTCAGCGATGGACACAGATAGACCACAGTGCTATTAGTCATCGCTGGAGAGGATCGGTGGAAGACTGCCGCTCCTTCTGGAGTACGTGTTTGGATAGAGATCATGCGTTGGTCCGAGCACGTATATGCCTGCGTCTCAATGGACGTAAGAAAGATTTGGCAACAAACCACTACGAGTGCTGCTGGAAAACGAAAACACCAAAGCCGTGTTCAGTGAGAAGTTGGCTATGCACCTGTCGGATCAGAACACTATCAAACCCAAATGATGCTTGGTGATATCTCTAGTCTGCAGTAAAAGCAGCGCTGTAGACTATAACCGATACCAAAATAGTGGCTAAAAAGAGCCAGTGAATATCAGCAACTTCTTCCGAACTAATGAATGCACATCAACGCATTATTCTGCAAGCTCTGAGTACAATGAAGAGCGAGCACAACTTAAAAGTAGACTGAGAAAAAGTCCAAACAACAACCGCGAACAGTGGTGGGCAGCAAAGGCTAAAGAGATGGAAAAGGCAGCAGTGATTGGTGACAGTTATTTAGATATATTAGGGAAATTGGGGGGGGGGGCAGGGGAAGAAGATCGACTGCGGTTATAGCGGAGAAGGTAGGATCTGCGGTTCACTCGCAGGGGACACGACTGGAACGATGGGAAGAATACTCCAACTGGCCTACAATGCGTTGCCTGATATCCAGTCGGATTCTGAATGGAAAATAGAGATAAGCCCCCCAACACTAGCAAAAGTCGAGATAGCGATAGGTAGTTTAAAATAAGGAGTGGCAGGACCAGCAGAGTAACTCCATAGGTATACTAGGATGGTGCTCTTAGTCAGGTTAACAGGAGTGTTAACTAGTATGTGGGAATTAAATACGATCTCCTCTAACTGGTCTAAATCACTGATTATCCCAGTCTTCAAGAAAGGCGAGAAGTCCTCTTGTGATAACCACAGGGGAATCAGCCTGACGAAGTGTCTGAGATTCTATAGATTTCCGATGCCTGAGCGGAGCTCGGGCACAGCAACCCGAGAAAACCAGGCAGACAGGTGTATCGACCAAATATTCACTCTCAGGAGGTAGTAAATTGTATTACTGACAAATGCGACACTGAAAAGGAATCCGACTAACTGATAGGTATCTTTTCCATTTAGAAAAACGTAGAACTGACACGAAACAATCTGTCGCTACACGTCGAGTCAGTTTCAATGAAGGACATTATATACTTTCACGAGATTCCTTCGTCAGAAAGGGTTCGACAAGCCAAGCTATATCATATATTGATACCTCTACACTCTAGCTTATTTGACAGATTACAACTAGATTATGTAGATCAGAACTAGAGGCATTCTTATCATAATCACTGCCATCCCAACAAAACGTGACAGTACCAATGTTACCCCGACCTCTGAAGGTCCGTTTGAGACATCCTAAACAAAGAGAGTAATGACTACTGTCGAATGCATCCACCCCCTGGAATGACAGGTGTTTAGTATACAGACAGAAATATCGGCTCACTGCTCCCAAATTACTGGTTTCCTTTATGTATACTAAGTAGGCGATTACAGCATGAAGTAACGCCACTGTTGACAAGCCAAAGTGTAGACAACACCAAATGACTTTTTCATACCTACGGTTTCACAACCAGCTTATTATATACAGCACTATAATTCTAATTGGTTTTGTTTACCAAGTCAAGAATTTACTGCTTAAAGCATGAGCCGACTGATTTTGAATTAGAAATGAGTTATCAGAATAACGTCACGAAATCCATTTAGAATGACACCACAAACTCGTAACGTTCCCATTGACAGTGTACTAGCATTCAAATACGAGGATGGGTGTGAAGCACTAGAGACAGCCAGAGATTAGTGAAATCCTATGGCACTGCCAGTAAGCCATATACACAATAAAATATATACATTATTCCTATTGAATCAGTCAGTGCGAGGACAGACACTAACCAACCAAGCTTTGGGAAAGGGTACTGAGGAAGACAATTACTTCGGACTGAGTTGGGTCGAAGAGAAAAACATTTTGTATTTGCGCAATCCTGTCGACTGTAAAAAGAACTGAGCACCAGATAGTCTCACTTTATTTTCACTTATTTACATGTACATAAGAAAGAGCACATTTCCCACAGTACTCACGGTCGAAATGACTAGCCATAAAGACACCTGCACCACACTTCTCACTGGGACATTCTCTTCGCAGTCTGGTTACTTTACCATTAGAATCAACCTAGAAGCTATCATAAGATGCTAAGAACTTTACCTTGTAATACTTCAGTGTTGCTAGTTTCACTTTCTTTCGCTTATGCTTGATCTTTTTTGGAGTAGTGTATGCCTTCTTTTTTCTTTTCTTGCCACCTCCCCGAAGCTCGCAATTCACGTCAATATTATCCAGATCGTAAATGTCAATCTCCTCGAGAAGGTCACCATCGCGTAATAGGGTACCGTTATGATAGATACATTGACTAGATGGTGGAATCCCCGTAGCTGATGAAATTTTGTTTTTCAACGACCCAACGGAGTCATTTAAGTTCGCAGATACGACGAGTGAGTTCGCCAAATGAGACCTTACTACCAACCTCATCGTTGTGCACGAAGATAATTGTAAAGCGCGCTTGTCAATTGAGATGAAATCAAACGACAGAGCGTCAAAATTCATGGAATCTGTACTTTTTATGCTGTAGTCCTGATGGATAGTCTGTATGCTGGTATTTGAGATTGAAGCTCAAGACTGACCTGTTTGGTTGAAGAGGAATGTGAACAATATCTTACATCATGGTACTGCTCTGATCTTTGTGCGCTATATTAGATGAAGCTTTAGAACATCTAAGTGATCCAGACAATATTTGTACAACATTTCAATCACTGTCCTTTCATCGCTTCTCGGAACCCACTCTAGGACGGCTATGTTCTTTAAGTATGGTGTCTTGTTGGCTGCAAGGTGACAATAGACAAGCACAAAGTCCATTCCATAAGGTGACCTCTACATATTCTCAGCGAGTTAGAATTGCACCGATACCCGTTTACAGTGATCACTTTGCACTTCCCCAGGTTGAGGGGGATTGGATTCGTACTTTTTTAGTTTAAGATTTCAGAGAGGTTCTATTGTAGGACTAAGATTCCGTTGACTCCTTTATCTCCATCGGAATCTGAAGATCACCAGCATATGGTGTTGAATCATTTTTAAAAGTCAAAAAATAACAGTGAACCAAATAAGAAGCACTGAGATCGGCATCGGAAAACACTTCGATAGCAAGGATCTCATTATAAATAATCGTGACCACCTGAACAACTTTGGGTGTACTTCCGCAAACTGGAGTTCCCTACACAGGATATCCAGATTAAACCTACCAAAAGCTTTGGAAAAACGAAGTGACTCAGTAGGAATTGGCTTTGTCTGCTCAAGAGAGCGCCTAACTTTTCCAGGCTATCAACAGTTTGGTGTCACATAACCTTCTAGGTAAAAATTCATGTTGGTAGTCAGGTTTGGGTACCTAATTCCAAAACTAATGAGCAATTCATTCGCCATTTTCCCTCGACCTTTGCAACTGAAGATAAAAAGGAGGTCGATCAGCGGCTAGGAGCAGTTAATTTCTTTTCCGCCTTAATGTACTGGGTGAATATCATTCACCACCAATCAGAAGGCGACCCACCTTCTAGTAGTAAGTGTTTGGATAGGCTTACTGGGGAGCAGTTAGGACACCAGTATCATCTCCTGGGTCACGGCCATCAATTCCTGAGGATTTACTATAATTTGAGCCCCCCTAAGGTTTTGCCGACATTATGAGCCTCAAACTCTGTGTGACTTAACCCCTCTGCGTTACGAGTGTCTACCAGGTGTGTGGTCATCCCTTCCACTTCACAGAGATAATTTTAAATTATGAACTAACAGGCTTGCAACCTCACAGTTAGTTTGGGGAGTCACTGAACTGCTTGGGTCATGTATACTAAGTGAGACGTTACATTTCGTTTTTATCAGTGGGTCCAATGCTCCATGACCTCCACCCAGTGTTCTAAGCAGATGCGGTTGGCAACTCCCTCTCTCCCTTATGATTTTACTGTGCATCTGTTACGAACATGCTTGCACTCTGCCCAGTCACTCGTGCTATTTGAAACCCTTAATTGATTCCAAGCTGACCATTCACATCTTATTAGCTCGCGGTTACTTGACTTAAGCCAAGAGAGCTACATTTTTTAGTTTCTCTATGGAAGGGTCAGAGTAGTATTTTTATTGATCAATCGAATGATGGTGTCCCACTTTGTGTCCGAATCAAGTGGATCATCGGATTTCAACCATCTATTTCGTCTATTCCTTTTCCGTAGTCCATTTTTCTATAGTTCCTGATTGCTCGTTGATCAGGGATGGTTGACTCAGACATAAAAGTGTTGAACGGAACCAGCGCATGGCTACTATGACGAACATGCCAATAGAGTGAGCGATAATATCACAGTCCTGTCCTGGGACCTTGACAGTAGAACCCCAGAAAATACGCCGAGGGACATGTTGAATCAAGCAGTTTCGAGTAATAGTTCCCGAGTTTTTCTTGCAAAACGGGATGGAAATGTGAAAGTGAAGAGCTGAGGTAGCCTGAACTCATCCACAACGAGGGCTAGAGTAAGGTTCATAAATAAGGCCCCTCCAATGGACTGAACCACTTTCTTAATGGATGTTGCAGAGGCTCCCATAAGGCGACATACAACTCCAACCAAGCAGCGACATCCGTAGCAATTCAAGTTGCATCTATGTCCAACACCAGTTCTAAATTTTGGGTAGGAAGTCTCGTGCGTTTTTCAGGGAGCACGTTTATAAAGCGCAACGCTGCCTTCTGATTTCTCTGATTCATCGCGCCGAATTAAGTCGAGCTGACTGAGAAGAATTTCATCATCCTTTACGTCATCTATGGGTCACCTTTCACAGGACAACCTGAAGCATCCTGAGAATACTGACGTTCAAGAGGTGGGCTTTGGTAGACGAGGAATTTTTCGGCCTCCACGTCAGCTTGTAGTTTATCCACTTATGTCGTGAATAGGTTCGGAAGTTTCAGCTCCCATACAATAGTGACTTTCATGCATGACGGCTGGAGAGTATATGTCTTTCGAGTGAATTTTACTGCTGTTAGGGTGTGGTTCCCCCACAGACCATCAGGTCTAAATCTGCTGTCCAACCGTTTTCGCCTAAGTAACCAATGGCCTTGCAGAAGGATATTTTCGGTTTGAGGAGTATTATCCGGAGAACCTCAGTGCGTGGGAGGGCATCTTTCGCAAATCTGCTGAGGCCTGAGTGTCTTGGGGTTGAACTGCTGAGTTTCGTATGTACTTACATGCAACCTACTCAGCGATCAGCCAGTAGGGGGAAGATCACCACTCTCAAAGCTGCTACTGTTTCCTGTAGTAGCTCTACTTAATGCTTTAGCCTGCTTACGTTTCTCCCTCTGAGTTCCCCCACGATTCTTCTAGGTTATGGCATCGTTATTCTTCGTTAAAGGGATATGTTCCGCTGCTAAGCTAGTTGGGCTAGTAGACAGTAAACAGGTTGTCTTATTGGGGAGCTAACCCTGTTCTGCTCTGGCTTCAGCGCCGGGCGATGCCGGTCTAAGTCTCCGATTTGGAACCAGTTCAGTCGAGGTCGTATATATACCTTGCTGACGGGCGCGAACAAGCAAGACGCCTAGGTCCGGGGATTTCTGTTGACTGCCTCCATCCAACCCTCAGCTGATCAAAGTTATTTGGAAATATCATCAAGATAGTCCTGTTAGGTAAGATTTAAAAGATTTAAGAGATTCCTTATAAACATTCACCCATTCATCGCATCCAAGCCACTGATGTGTTTCGCAATGCACTGTTCTGAAGTTAATCTGAACTGTGGATCGAGACGATAGCAGATCTTAAATGAATGGATCCGAATCCCTCCTAGACCCACAGTTTAATGTAAATGACGACCGCATTTCCAGTTGGAGCCTGGTGAGGTATTGCGACGACACGAAACATTAACGAATATATGCCGAAAGACAATGTACATGTACCTCACTTCAAGTGGGAACTACATTGAAATAAATAAATAAATGTTTCATTCTCACGTTAATAAAGGATTTTAACATGAGAGAAGCCAGTTTACAGGCTTCATCACGTTGATACATCTCGAAATATCTACAAGAGTTAAGCCCTGAGTGGTACTGATGGAATGTCATTAAAAACTGCCGAAGGTCCTGCTAGTTATGAAATGAACTAGGAAATATTACTTTACAGCGTACATAGGGTGTCAAAGTTTAGATGATAGTAAATGTCGCCTTCATTTAACAGGCTTAACATGAGGGATACCAGTTTACAAGCACCGTCAAATTCATAACTTTTGAAAGTATCTAGTATTAAATAATTTACATATCAAGTCATTAGTGTGCATAATCTGATTGAAATTTGCTGAAATTCATGACACGGATATGGATTGCCATCTCCCACCACATAGATAGGTTCCATTATCAATATCAAAAGCGCGCAGTGTTCAAAGTTTGCGTTGTAACCAACCGGCGTTGTTAGTCCATTCGCATAGTTTGCTGATTAGTAATATAACAGTTTATTACTTAGAATGGTCTTCAGTTTTTAGTCTGCTAACCACAAAGGACCCATCTATACAATCTGGAGTATCAATAAAGTATCCACAGTTATATAACCAACGTGTATGGCTATATCAACGCATATCCGGGTCACCATGTTACGTTTAAAGGTGATATAGATTAATTCTGCTGGGAATACTTGTTGTATTGGATGAAAATAGATGTTGAAACAGTCAGTAGTCCGAGTGGCACTATTTATACGTAGACTTGGGGTATATTTTGTATTGGCGTACGCGGCACAATTCGAGAGGTGTATTTGATGCATAGTAAGTTTCATATGAAAAGGTCTCTTGGTACAGAGTACTAGAAGATGCTAGTGTGGCGCCATTGCATGTAATTGATGTCCTGAGCCAATATATATATAAATTGGTCTCTGGTTTAATCATCTGTTCATAATGCCTCTGCTACTAATACTGTTGGGAATGGTCAGACGGTTCGTCGCAAGAAAAATTATGACGAGTAGGTGAGTTAATCTTGAAGATGGTCCAGAATTTGCGAAAGAGTGGGAGCAGTCCAATAATTATTGGCGTCAATGAGCAGGTGTTATTCCCATAAAGCAATCACGTTCATACTGAATTTGAACGTCGAATGTCGACTTGCAGCTGTTTCTGTAAATGGGGAAAGAAAGGAGAGGCACGAGCAGATATGGAAATACAGATTACTACGCTGTCAAATTTGGAGGAGAGAAAAATCCCCCTCCTCTTTTGATTTATTCGGACTTGATGTACATTTTCATGTATACATGTTAAGTCAACTACATAGCCCTTCCATTATAGGGTTATTAAGTTGTCTTTTTTGGGGGGGGGTGTACCGTAGTGGCTTTCAGAAATAAACAGTATTCTTTAAGTTCATTACATGGAGAGGAGCCGGTATTCATACCCTTGTATGCAATCGTAAGGCCATCCGCATTAAAGGAACTTCAGGGCTTTAATAAAACCGATTCTTACATTTAGAGGTATGAGTACGTTGACAGTGGACACAATGGCTTGGCCATTGTTATGTGCCGATTGCTCCATCATGCTTCGTATTTGGGGACATAATATGAATGTCAAGAAATTTATAGATATCCGTGGTGAGAAAGAATTCGTTGAGTAGGCATCGAAACTGAAATGGACGTGCAAGAGCGAATAAAATGTGAAGGCTTATTCCATAGCTT